CTGTTCATAGGGAATTTGTTTTTGGAGCCTCAAAGAATCATACCTCTCAAAATGATGCAACTCCAACACAAGTAGACAACCAAGGTATGCAAGTTCTTTTGTTCCTTTTAATTAAAAATAGAAAATCTTGTCCATGTTCTTTTTTTAAACTTTTCTAATAACCTTAACAAGCAATTCGTTCAGCACTCAATGAGATGGCATCTTCCAGTAGCAGCAACAGCAACTTTGCATTCTGGATGCCATGGATCAAGATCGAGGCTCCTTCTTCCTACTTCCTTCATCATTTTCATTTTTTTTTTTCAAAATAATGATTAAAATTGAATTCATGATGACGTTTCAGATAAATGAAAGTGGGAAGAGTGCAAGAAGCTTTAGGGAGCAAAGAAGGGCACACTATGATGAGAAGCAATCAATTGTTGATGGTGTTTTTTTTAAACCATGTAGAATGTAGTGTTATGTACACAAATGATAAGGCATGTGATGATTATGCAAATTTCCTCAAGTTAATAATTTTATTCTACATATGAATTATATTTGCAATAATGTAGTGTTTTGAGATTGTATGGAATTTTAATGTTTTGCAATCAAATTTACAGTATTAGCTATTTTGTAAATTTATTGCGTTAGCAATTTTGTGATGTGAAAACTAGAAAATTATAGAGGAAAAAAGCAGCTGTATGGGCATACCTATAGAGACGACATGTCATTTCTATAGGTGGATCTATAGAGACGACATGTCGTCTCTATAGAGGCATCTACCACGACGACATGCCTTTAACAAAGGGGAAGACGTGTCGACTCTATATCTCTATCTATGTAGACGACATGTTATCTTTATAGATGCACCTATAGAGACGACATGTCGTCTCTATAGCTTCATCTATGGAGACCAGCACTGTATATCGACGAACCAAAGCAGGATGGCATGTTGTCTCTGAAGGATACCTATTGCGACGATATTTATAGTGACGACCAAAAAGATCTATTGCGACGGGGCTATGGTGACGAGAGCTATAGGGACGACATGTCTTCTCGGACATCTATAGGGACGACATTTTTAACCTATAGAGACGACATTTGTTGTCCCTATAGGTCCCGTTTCTTGTAGTTAATTGGGGCGTGTCTACACAAGAACTTTGTTGAAAAATTCCATTTTCTGAAAAAAAAAATCAGATAAATTCTTTGTGAAATACTCACGGCCATTATCACTTCTCAAAACTTTAATTTTAGTCTCAAATTGAGTACAAACCATGTTATAGGAAATTTTTAAAAGTATTTCCCAGATCATATTTGTGTTCCATTAAATAAACCAAACTCATCAGTGTATGATCATCTATAAAAGTGACAAACCATCATTTTCCAGAAATGGTTGAAACTTTAGATGGCCCCCAAATATCACTATGCACAAGAAAGAAAGGTTTCGAAGGAACATATGGCCTAGGACTACAGGGGGGTTTATGGATTATTGCCAAAGCACAAATTTCACATTGAAAGGAAGATGGATCTTTATTAGAAAACAAATTTAGAAACAAATGTTTTAAATAATGAAAACTTGGATGTCGAAGCCTAAAATGCCAGATCATAACATCCTCACAACCATAGTCAGAAATAACATCTAAACATGAGGTTGGAATAGATTCTTTCGAAAGAGATCCATCATTGGAATAGTAAAGTCTACCGCTTAAGCTAGCATTGCCAATCATCTTCCTAGTTGCCAAGCCCTGAATTTCACAATGATATGGAAAGAAATTAGTATGACAATTTTGATTTTGAGTTAATTTATCGACGGATAGTAAATTGTAATTAATCTAATCTGGGAACATGTAACACATCTTTTAGGGTTAGAAGAGGAGAAATATGAATCGAACCAGTCCCTATAACAGTTGAAAAAGAGCTATCAGTTATCTTAATTTTTCTATTTCCTGCACAAGGACTATAGGTTGAAAATAAGTGTGAGACGCTAGTCATATGATATGTGGCACTCAAATCTGTTACCTATGGGTCAGAAATAGTGAAGGATAGAAAAGAAAAAGAAGCTTGATTACCTTGATGAGCATATGAAGCAGAAGGAGTGACAGAAAGATTTGAAAATTGTGGAGATTTAAAGAGTTCAAAAAGATGCTCAACTTGTTCTTTTGTAAATGAAGATTGAGGTTGTCCAGAGGTAGAATTAAGCTGTATACTGGTCTCAGACACAGTGTTTAGAGCCTTCCCTCTTGGTTGCTTTTTCTTCCATCTTGGCTACCAATTAGAAGGCTTTCCACGATGCATCCAACAGGTTTCCTTAGTGTGCCAATTTTGTTTACAATGATCACACCAAGGTTTTTTCTTCCTAAGGTAACATCAATACCTTGGGTAGTTAAAGCCGAGCCTTTAAGTTATATAGGTTGTGAAGTCATGACTTGTTTCCATCCTTCTTCTTGTCTAAGTTCAGAGAATACCTCACAAAGAGAAGGGAGAGGGTGTCTCCCTGAAACACACCCTTTAACTTCATCAAAAACTGCATTCACACCAGCTAAGAACATAAAAACTCGATCATTTTCTTCTATTTTCTTAAACTGTGCTAAATCTTTAGGATTTTCCCATTCTTCACTGTAACAGAGATCAAGTTCTTGCCAAAGAGAAAACATATAATTGTAATATGTGGTGATATCAGTTTCTCCTTGCTTTGAGTTCAACAACCTGGTTTTAATATCGTAAGTTGTGAATGATTCTCCACATCTGAATAGGTATCACGAACTACATCTTATATTTCTTTTGCAGACATGAAAATGTAAGGCTTGCTAATAGATTCCTCCATAGAATTGAGGAGCCAGGAAGTGATCAAGGAGTTTTCTGATCTCCAATTTCGAAAAAGAGGATTAGATTCCTCAGGTTTTGTTTCTTCTCCAGTAAGAAAACCTAGTTTCCCTCTCCCATATATGGCCAGTTTCATTGATTGAGCCCATTCTAAAAAATTCCTACCATTCAATTTGATAGTTGTGATTTGGATGGAGGCATTTGGGTTCATGTAAACTGGAAAAGATGGAGGAAAGGTTGAGGTTTGGGTAGAAGAAATGGTTAAGGTTTGGGTAGAAGAAGAGTTGGTTTTCTCCATGGCTCTGATACCATGTAAATTTTGAAGAACACTTTTTCTTCTTGTTATAATTAACCATGGCGAATATAACAGAATTTATAGAGTTTACAAGCTAATTGACAACTAAACTAATTGATAGCTATTTATAGCAGAATAATCATATCCCTATAAATCCTCTAGAATTGTATTTAAATAAATAACTAAAATAGAATAGGACATATTTAAACCAGGAAAGATCCTTATAATCTTTGCATCATTCAAGAATGTTGTTGGTAACGTGAACAAGACGAAACAAGTAAAAAAGAACAAACATGAAATTTTAATTCCATGTCCACGTGTCTCCTGTTTAAATCACATGTTTCTTAGAGTTGAGGAGGTAGATTACCATCTATTCCTTAAGAGAATTGGTCCAAACTACTCCATATGGATTATGCATGGTGAAAAGGATGATTCAAGGACATAGTAGGTCTAGGTCTGCTAATGCCAAAAAGGGTTTAGATAAGAATGAATTTTTTAATTTTGAATCGGGGGTACCAACACATGCTTGCTCCTAATACAGTAGAAATGGTTGAAGGTACCAAAGAGAATTTCTCAGACGACCAAGATAAGTTCAAATTACTGCTTGTGGATGTTGAGAAGCCCCTTTACAAATGATTTCATAAGTATACAAAATTGTTTGTATTTGTTCATCGTCTGAACTTGAAGAGTAAGTACAGGGCACCAGATAAGTTATTTAATGAATTACTATGTTTGATAAAGTTTACGTTACGTGAAGATAAAGAAATGGTTAAAAGTACTTATGAGGTGAAGAAAACACTAAAAGCAATGGGTTCATGATATGAAAAGATACATTCTTGTAGCAATGACTGCATTTTATATAGGAAGAAGTATTCAGATTTGAATAAATGTCCCACTTGTGGGAAATCAAGATGGAAGGTGGATGATGAATCAAAAAAAGAAAACTCTAATATTAAAGCTAACGTATTGTAGTACTTCCCCATTATTCCACGCTTTTAACGGCTCTTTAAATTAAAGAGCATTGCAAATGATCTAGTATGACACAAATATGGTTGTGGTAGGAAAGACGACAGTATATTACATCACCCAACGGACTCACAAGTATGGCGTAACATAGATGACAGGTGTATTATGTCTCACTTAAAAACCGACACAAGGTAAATATACATATAAAATAACAAAAGCCGTTATAAAATAGGACATTCGGCCATCGTTTTCGACCGTCACAATACTTGTCACTTGTTAGATAATATCTCCAGCTGTATCTTCGTTGTACATGAGCTGTATTTACTTGTACCTTCCTTGTACATGGTTTGTATCTTCTATTTATTTGTCTAATTCATTTCCCAAATCATTGGGGTTTATCATTCTTACATGGTATCAGCCATATCCCTTCCATAATTTTCTTTTCCCCTCATTTTTCAGCCACAGTCGGTGCCCTAATTGCCGTCGCCAATGTTGTCATCATGGTTGAGACTGATCAATCTCTTCCCTATGCCACCTTAATTCACATGCTCTCGCTGAAACTCTCCACCACCAATTATCTGTTGTGGAAGACACAGGTTGAGACCCTTTTGCAATCGCAGGGGCTTTTTGGTTTCCTTGATGGTTCAGATTCTCCTCCCTTGCCTGCAAGTACTGCTCCCGCTAATGTTGCTTCTGCCGAAAAAGCTAAGAAGGATTGGCTTATGCAAGACCGTCACCTTCATAGTCTTCTTCTTTCTTCTCTCAGTGAGGAATCCATGGCAGAAACTATTGGATGCAAATCTTCTGCAGAAGTTTGGAGTGCCCTAGAAAAGGATTATGCCTTGCAATCCAAAACTCGTGAGATTCAATTGAAAGACGATCTTCAGCATATGCGTCGCGAGTCACTCTCGGTTGCAGATTTCAGTTCCAAGTTTCGTGGTATCTGTGATCAATTAGCATCCATTGGCTCCCCAGTACCCGAAAACTGACAAACTACACTGATTTTGTCGAGGTCTTGGACCATCTTTTTCTACTTTTTCTTTGCAGCAGCTTCGTCTAAAACCTATGCCAACGCTTTCAGACACTATCTCTGATGCTAAGAGTTATGCTTTGTTTCAACAATCGATAGAAGAACCTAACTCTGCACCGGTTGCTTTTGCTGCTCAATATAATGGGTCACACAACCATCAGCGTGGGGGACGATTATCATCTAAAAATCATTATGTCTCACGTCAAGGAGGAGGTGGACGTAATGCTGATGGTGGGGGAAATAACTCCCACTCGGGATCTGATCGTCGCAATAATCGGCGCCAATATACACCTAAATGCCAAATTTGCAAAGTTCTTGGCCATGTTGCTCCTGATTGCCCAGAACGGCTTAATCCCACCTCTGGTTCATCTTCTCAGGCAAACCTTACTCAGGCTTTCAATGCAGTCTCCCTAAATTCTGGTGAAACATCAGACTGGTACATCGATTCTGGTGCTTCATCGCATATGACATCTCAATCCACTCAACTGGACTCTTCTATTCCTTATTCTGGTAACAATCGTGTCTATATTGGAAATGGTGCCTCATTATCTATCTCTCATATTGGAAATTGTCTTCTTAATTCTTCTCTTTCATTAAAAGATGTGCTTGTGGTTCCACAAATCACCAAAAATTTACTATCCATCAATAAAATTACTCGAGATTTACCTGTTACAATTTTATTTGATGATGTTTCATTTGTTATTCAGAACAAACAAACAGGGATGATCGTGGGAAGACGCCGACGTGAATCTAGTCTCTACATTCTTGAACGTGGTGATGAAGCATTTCTTGGTGAACATAGGAATCGCAAAATAAGAGCATTATTTAAATTATGGCATGATCGTTTAGGACACGTTTCATATGACATTGTTTCTTTGTTGAATAAATTGGGTCACATTTCCATGACTTCTAGTTTGTCAAACTCATCTACTTGCAATTCTTGTCAGTTAGCCAAAAGTAAAAGATTACCTTTTTCCAACAATGATAAACGTGCAAGTTCAGTTCTTAACTTAGTGCACTGTGATTTATGGGGACCCTCACCCATTCCTTCAAAGTTTGGTTATCTGTATTATGCGGTATTTATTGATGATTATTCCCGCTTTACTTGGTTGTATCCGATGCGTCGCAAGTCTGAATTTTATTTAATTTTTCAAAGGTTTCAAACTTTTGTTGAAAATCAGTTATCTGCTAGTGTTTCAAAGTGACGGTGGAACGGAGTTTACTAATTATCTGTTACAAGATCATTTTCACAAACATGGCATACACCATCAAATGTCTTGTCCAGGTACTTCTGCTCAAAATGGACGTGCCAAACGAAAACATCGTCATATCACAGAAACTGGCCTCTCCATGGCATTTCATGCTTTAGTTCCATTGTGTTATTGGGTAGAAGCCTTCACCGCGGCTGTTTACACCATCAATCACTTACCTTCTCGTATTCTTGATGGTAAATCTCCTTTTGAGATTTTATTCGGTTACCCGCCTGAGTATTCTACTTTTCACCCGTTTGGTTGTCGGGTTTATCCATGTCTGCGTGCTTCTACACCCCATAAATTTGCACCACGGACAGTTTCATGTGTTTTTCTTGGTTATAGTACCCGACACAAAGGCTTTCTTTGCCTTGATAACTCAGTGGGTCGTATGTATGTTTCACACCATGCTCAGTTTGATGAAAATTATTTTCCATTTTTAACAGAGCAACATATCACCGCCTTTCCAAAGAACCTGGATGTTTCTGTTTTTCTTGATTTATAGGATGACGAAACTCAACCAATTGTGCCTTCTCCATCCACATCTACCACTCCCTCACCAAATGGGTCATCATGCTCGGTTACAACTTGTGGCCTTTGTCCCTCTGCTGATGAATCAAATGGTTCGCATGTCTCTGTCTCTACCTCTGACCCACAAGCAGACACATCAGCACAACAACCTCAAAATCCAGCTTCTTCCCCCGTTCGACATCATATGCGTACACGGTCTCGCAATGGCATCTCCAAGACAAAATCTTTTCCGGATTTCACTCCTACCGGTCTTTTGGCAGCTTTATTAGCTACGAATGAGCCTAAAGGTTTCAAATCAACTCTTAAACATCCTGGATGGGTTGCAGCTATGGATGATGAGCTTCAAGTTCTCCATAAAAATCATACATGGGACGTGGTACCTCGTCCTTGTGGTGTCAATATAGTTGGGTCAAAGTGGATTTACCGGACTAAGTATCTCTCTAATGGATCTTTTAAGCGCCTTAAGGCTCGTCTTGTAGCCCAAGGCTTCTCGCAAATGTCCGGTTTTGACTATACTCATACTTTTAGTCTGGTTGTAAAAGCTGCTAATGTCCGTACTATTTTAGCCTTGGCCGTTCAGCGAAATTGGCCTCTACATCAACTAGATGTTAAAAACGCATTCCTAAATGGATACTTGGACCAGCCTGTATATATGGAGAAACCACCTGGTTATGTAGATCCCAAATTTCCATCCCATGTTTGTCGTCTTCGCAAGGCTTTATATGGTCTTAAACAAGCACCCCGTGCTTGGTTCACCCGTTTTAGTGCTTTTCTCGTGCAGTTGGGTTTTTTCTGCAGTCAGGTTGACACCTCCTTATTTGTCTTGACCCGTGGTGCCACCTTTATGTATGTTATTGTGTATGTTGATGACATTATTGTCACCGGAAATAATCAAGCTTTACTTCAACATTTTATTCAGCGCACAAACGAAGAATTCTCTATTAAAGATCTTGGTCGTTTGAACTATTTTTTGGGTTTGGAAGTCACGCACACTGCAGATGGTTTGTTTTTAAGTCAGGCGAAATATCCACATGATATCCTTGATCGAGCTCAAATGTTGGAAGCCAAATTGGTTTCCACGCCATGGTCTCCGGGTATGCAACTTCACAGTAAAAATGGCACACCATTTCGAGACCCTACACTTTTTCGTTCTATTGTTGGTGCTTTACAGTACCTAACCATCACCCGTCCTGATCTTTCATTTGCGGTGAACTCGGTAAGCCAATATCTTCATGATCCTTTGGACTCACATTTTCAAGCAGTTAAACGTATTCTTCGTTATGTTCGGGGTACGATCCAGCTTGGCCTATCTCTTACACGCTCCGCTACTCCTCATGTTCAATGTTACTCTGATGCTGACTGGGCTCGTTGTCTGGAGACTAGACGCTCCACATATGGTTATGCTATTTTTCTTGGAGGGAATCTTGTATCTTGGAGCGCAAAGAAGCAACCAACGGTTTCTCGCTCCAGTTGTGAATCTGAATTTCGTGCTTTGGCAAAATACTGCTTCTGAACTTCTATGGCTTATTCATTTGCTTCGCAACTTACGGCTCCATTCCAATGCATCTCCGGTACTTTTTTGTGATAACAACAATGCAATTTTCTTGGCTCAAAACCCCGTCGCCCACAAACGTGCAAAGCACATTGACATTGATTATCACTTTGTACGTGAGCTTGTTTTTTCTTACAAACTCAAAGTTCAGTTTGTTCCTTCGCACCTGCAGCTTGCTGACATCTTTACGAAAGCATTACATCGACCACTTTTTACTTTCTTTCGATCCAAGCTTCGCGTTACTTCCAATCCCACGCTTAGCTTGCGGGGGGATGTTAGATAATATCTCCAGCTGTATCTTAGTTGTACATGAGCTGTATTTACTTGTACCTTCCTTGTACATGGTTTGTATCTTCTATTTATTTGTCTAATTCATTTCCCAAATCATTGGGGTTTATCATTCTTACATTACCTTTTTTTTTTATATAAAACCGACGTTAATGTGTGAAGCCTGATATGCAATGGTGACATGTATTCAGTAAACTTTCATGGAAAAAATCATGTGAATTAGTTTATGACCTTTAGTGACGAGAAATATGAAAATTGACACCACCCAATTTTTAAAAACAGATGACATTGCCGGTTTTGTTCTATTGTTAATATTCTTTTAAAATGTCCCCAGTGTTGAATAATTATTTATAGTTAATGTTCTCCTTTTAATTGGATTGGTGGATCCGTATTTGATCCCTATCACCTGTCAAGTATATCAACCAATGCATTAAATTTAATTATAAATTGAAGATTGTATATTATTTTTAAATATTTAAAACAAGTTCTAGTAATAAATTAACAACGATATATCAACAAATTCATTATATTTTAATTATATATTTAAGATTTTATATTATTTTTAAATATTTAAAACAAGTTCTAGTAATAAATTAACAACGATATTAATAGTCGATTTAACTAATTAGAGCCATTAGTTTAAATTTTCGCAATAATCTCTTTAAATTGAATACATATATATATATATATTTTTTAACACGCCCATTTTTGCTTTAGCCTCGGGCGCAAAATATGTTTGGACCGGCATTGTTTATTCTTGTACAAATGAACTGTTATCTTCATCATTCCGTCGTAACAACCCATCAATCCAATTAAATATGTGGAAATTGTGTCTTCCAAAAGTAAGAAAGTTTCAATGGTTAAGAGGGTGAAATTGTAAATAGGTTATTAAATGCACAATCAAACACAACTCAATTGTGAACACTCTTGTATGTGACACAAAAGTCCTGCATTTTTGGCTCATCGAAGAAAGAAGTTTTTTGTCAGACATACCACAATGTCAAATTCAAAGATTCATGGTTTGAAATCTTTTGGCTGTGTTTTATCCGTTCCCACTAGAAATTCAATTAAAAATGAAGATACTATGCGGGCTCAAGAAATAAATTTCCAACTTGCAGCTATCATCTATATAACCTCTCCGAAGAGTTAAGTTAATGGTTCATCACAAACATTATCACAATACAAACTTTTTTGTATTTTTCCAATTTTGGTTTTCCACGTAAATCCTTGTGTCTCTTTTATTTACTGCTTTGATTCGTATTTTCTAAATGGTTGATTACGTTTGATATAATAATTCCATCCGCATCGAACAAATATTATTATAAACTGCTCGGATTCACATGTTAAACAAACGTTTACTACAAAAGTATATATATATTTTTTCTATTTGAAACCGATTTAGGGTTGATAATGGGTAATCCGTGGGGTTTGGGGCTCCAACTCATTTCCATAAGTATTTTTTTGTTAAGAACCACATATACTTGTTTGGGTGTGGGAAATATAAGTGTTGTTTGCTCTGAGGAAGAGCGACTTGCTCTTCTCAAGTTCAAACACAGCGTCCAAGACGACTCTAAAATGTTGTCATCATGGCTTGGAAATGATTGTTGCCTGTGGGAAAGAGTCCACTGTGACGATGATTCTGGAAATGTCAAAAGTCTTGATCTCAGAGGAGACAAGTATGCTGGTGAAGACCGCTACTACTTAGTTGGTGCTGAGGTGAACTCGTATTTGGCACAGTTGAAGCATATAACATACTTGGATTTGAGCGGGAATGATTTTGGAGGAAGTTGGATCCCAAAGTTCATTGGATCCTTGAAGCAACTGAGCTACCTCAATCTTTCTCATGCTGGATTTCAAGGTATTATCCCTCATCAGATTGGAAATCTTTCTAATTTGAAGGTTCTTGATCTCAGTTATCGAGGTCCGATGATAGACGAACCATTGGTTGCAGATGATGTGGCGTGGACTTTTGGCCTTTCGTCACTCGAGCATCTCGACTTGAGTTCAGTGAATCTTGGCAAAGCACAAAACAGGGACATGCTGCTTTACATGATTCCTTCCTTAAAAGAGTTAAGTTTGTTTCGATGTAGACTTTCTAGTTCTGTTCTTGGTCCTTTTGTTAACTCGAGTAGAATACTTCCCAACATCAAACACCTGAATCTTGGCTCGAATTCTTTCGAAGGTCCACTCCCAGGATTTTTTCAAAATCTGACATCTCTTGAATTCCTAGATCTTTCAGACTTTGAGCCAGGTTCCACATGGAACTTTGCAAAATTGCTAAAAATGATGCCTTCTTTATCAGAGCTGCATTTGTCAAACTGTTGGCTGGATAACACATTTCTATCTTCCTCTCATTTTAATTTCTCTACACTATCGAACATCCAACACCTGAATCTTAGGTGGAATTCAATCGGAGGCATATTTCCATCTGTTTTAACAAACATGAGTTCCCTAAGAGTCCTAGACCTTACAGAAAACATTCTGAATTCCATGGTTCCTGTTATGCCTAACCTTCTTGAGCTTCATCTTTCTTACAACATGTTTAATCGGATCGAGCAACTTGGAATCTGGAGACACTGTCACCTGATACATTTTGATGTGGCTGGAAATGTGAATGGTATGGAAATGATCGACTCATTGCACAACGTATCCGAGTGCTCCCAGTATGCTTTGGAGAGTTTGGATTTAGTGGAGAGTTTTCAAAATGGTACGATTCCAGAAGCACTTGGAAGAATGGTGAATTTAAGGTTCTTATATCTAAGTAGGAATAATAGATTGACAGGTCCGATCCCCAAATCACTAGGAAGATTAAGATATTTAGATGTATTAGATCTATCTACTAATGACTTAACAGGTCCGATTCCGACATTCCTTGGGAAACTTTCCGCGATTGACCTTTCTTGGAATCAATTGACTGGTTCAATTCCAAAATCCTTAGGGAATATAGCAACTTTAAGAGTAATTGAGCTTTCTAATAATCAATTAAATGGTTCAATTCCCGAATCCTTTAGAAATTTAGCAGCTTTAAGAGAACTGGATTTAGCAAACAATCAGTTAACTGGCCCCATCCCCGCATCTCTTGGAAGACTTGTTTCCTTACGAGCAATGATGGTCTCGAGAAATTTGTTAAATGGGAATATTCCAGTTTCAATTGGGCAACTTGCCAAACTCCAATCTCTAGACATCTCTTACAATTTTCTGGAAGGAGTAGTTTATGAAGCCCATTTTGCTAACCTTTCGATGTTGAAGCGCTTGGTTGCTTCTCATAACACTAAGTTGTCGTTCAATGTTTCACGTGAGTGGACACCTCCATTCCAATTGCAAAGTCTTCAACTTGGTTCTTGTAATATCATAAATGGATTTCCGCAATGGCTTCAAAATCAAAGGAAAATTGAGAGTTTAGTCTTATCCAATGCCACAATTTCAGGACCTCTGCCCATGTGGTTGCAGAAGACGCCCATCATTGCTTTCTTAGATCTCTCTAACAACAAACTCATTGGACCTTTGACGTATCTTCCCAACGGTGGAGTTAACCATTTATGGCATGCAACCGGTGGTGGATTGCTTCTGCAAAATAATCTTTTCAATGGGTCGATTCCAAGGTCATTGTGCACTACAAATTTGCAATATCTTGATCTTTCTAAAAATAGGTTAACTGGGAAAATTCCCAACTGTTTTAAGAACTTGAAAAACTTGGTTACGATGAGATTTAGCTCAAATCGGTTGCGTGGTGTGATTCCAAGTTCAGTAGCTCTCAATTCTTTGAGGCGGTTAAGACTCAACAGCAACAACTTTATTGGTGAACTTCCTCGAGAATTGGGGAATTTAAGAGATTTAGAAGTCTTAGATGTGGGTGACAACAAATTGTCTGGAGATATACCGATATGGATCGGAGAAAATCTTACATCTTTAATCGTTTTGAGGTTGCACAAGAATAACTTCACAGGAAGGATTCCTAGAAGTTTGTGCAACACTTCAAAACTTCAAATTTTTGATGTTGCATACAATAACTTAACAGGAACCATCCCTCATTGCCTAGGGGAGTTAACTGCAATGGTTAAGAGTCTCCCTGATTTTCTTAGTGACCCTGATCATGATGAGAATCTGATTCAGGTCATGAAAGGTGTTGAACTTGAATTTACAAAAAATTGGGGTATTCTTTTTAACATGGACCTTTCAAGCAATAAACTTGTGGGAGAAATACCGGTCGAGCTAACTGCGCTTTGTATGTTGGTGGGTCTCAATTTGTCAAATAATCATCTCAATGGGGCAATTCCAGGCAGCATTGGGAACTTGACCGCATTAAATTCTCTAGATTTATCTAGAAACGAGTTGACCGGGATGATCCCTCCAAGCATGGCAGCTTTGACCTTTTTGAGTTATTTGAATCTGTCACACAACAACTTGTGGGGACGAATTCCAACCGGAAATCAATTGCAGACCCTTGATGATCCATCGATATATGTTGGGAACAAAGATTTATGTGGACCTCCATTGCCAAAAAGTTGCTCAAATCAGGTTGACCCAACAACAATAACCAAAAAGGAATACGAAGAAACTGATCATGAGCCGATGAAGATATGGTTTTATGTGGGCATAATGTGTGGTTTTGCAACAGGGTTTTGGGGTGTTATTGGAGTTTTGTTGTTCAAGAAGCAGTGGAGACTGAAGCTGTTCGTGTCTGTGGAGGAAACCATAGAGAAGATATATGTTGCAGTTGTGGTAAGAGTTGTCAAGTTGAAGAGAGGAAGAGAAACCGCATAGATCCTCTCGAGTGTAAGTAATTCTCGAATACATTTCGTCAATCTTTTTTTTTTCATAACCCGTTGGAAGTGTAAAATTAAAAAGGATATTTTCAATCTTGACTTGGAAAATGTGTACAAATGGAATCATAATGACGTCGAGTTTATATTTGTAGGTGTTGTCGTAAAAGGAAATGAGGAAGAAAGTTGATGCAAGAGAAAGATTGAAGGTGACAAACATGTGAAAGTTTAAGGGTAGCACAGCAGCGGATGTGGAAATAATGGACAATATATATAACATAAATATATAGTATATTTTTTGTTTTGCATTGTTTCAAAAGTACAATATGTATTAGAAACGTTTACGATAAAAAGTTTTCTGTTTGGGCTAAAACAATTATTATAAGATATCGATATCGATAAGATAAAGTGTATTCCAAAACTTTTCAAATTTTGTTTACGAAAATATATTTAAATTTTTTGTTTCGCCTTAAAAATAAATTTTAATTTTACATAATTTTAAATATGTCTTTTTACGTGTGTATCATCTAAAACAAAATATAAAATAAAATAATCTTATGTATTCAAGGTAATAATATTGATTTGACCATCAAATATAAATTGCTGTAACATACAAAGTTTCATGAAAAAATATAGTTTATTCTTATAAAATATTTTTAACAATATAATTTTCTATTAAGTTCCAAGTCTTCTCCTTTAACTTTCCGGTCTTCCATTTAACTACCAAGTCTTCTCTGCCGACTTCCAAGTCTTCCATCGCTATAAGCTTCTCTTCATTTGTTTCATCCTTATAAATGAACTGGTTTCTTCATCATTTCAGCATAACAAAACATATTTCCACTTCTATCTTTTATATTTCATTTTCTAAATCAAATGAGTCAGGGTAGATAATGTGGAATCACAGGGGTTTCGGGCTGCATCTCATTTTCGTAAGTACTTATTTGGTAGCAACCGCATATAATTGTTTGGGTGTTGGAAGTGCGAGTGTCTTTTGCTATGAACAAGAGCGAGTTGCTCTTCTCAAGTTCAAACAGAGCGTCAAGATGAGTTTGGAATGTTGTCATCATGGGTTGGCAATGACTCTTGTAGGTGGGAAAGAGTCAATGAGATGGTGGCTCTGGAAATGTCAAAAACCTTGATTTGAGAGGAGACACTACAAAAAAAAATGTCAATTAGTGACCAAAAACAAAATGGTCACTAACAATAGAATGAGTCATCACTAAATGATTTAGTGACCAAAATTCTGGTCATCACTTCTCGTCACTATAGGTCCGTCATAAAACCGATTTAGTGACCAAATATAAATATGGTCACTAAACAGTGACTAAAATATAGTCGTCACTAAATCTATGACGACCCGCTTCGTCACTAAATGTTGTCACTAATCATTGAAAGTCGTCGCTATTTTATCTACTTAGTGACCAATAAAAGTCGTCACTGTTTTGTTGGATTAGTTTTATCCGATTAGTGACCATAGAAAGTGGTCACTGGTTTATCTAGTTAGTGACTGTTAGAGGTCGTCATTGATTTATCCTATTAGACAAAAAAATGGGTCAATAATTAAGAGTTTCTTGAAATATTAAATGTCATTTCGAATATGCAATATAACAATATCCAATTAGACAAAAGAAAAAAAAACGTTATAAATTTTTACAATACAACAATAGTAACCAAATAAATCTTCACATTTATAATATGAAAATTAAATGTCATTTTTAGAAAACAAAATCCATACATTTTATCCAATATTTCAAAAAACAAACATATAAAGATCAATGTGGATTAAAAGTTAATTCAATTGATCAATGTAATTGAGATAAACGTGAAAGCTCACTCATCATAAATTCCATTTTCTTATTTTGCTCCTCTCGATATTTGATCTGCTCATCTTGAAACTGTGCCAACCGCGGGTGGAACTTGATTAAATGATTTGTTCTTCTGTTTCTAATGCTAACTTTCTGCAACAATTAAAGAAGTGAAAAAGATTATATCATGCAAAGTGTAAAGACACATGGAGATTTTTGTAATTATGCGAAGTAAAAACATAGGAACCAAAAAAAACATGGACCAATTTTATAATTCTGCAAATTGAATACACAATTACAACATCAAATGTAGTTCCACCCGGTTTTTCATCAAATGTAGTTTAAAACAATAAATATCAAATGAGCGTCATGAAAAACAATTTGCATCATGGCTTCGCCAACGTGTAAGAACTACATTTGATGTTTGTTGTTTTAAAATTTAATGTCGCAAAATTGATTGGTGAAAAATATGATAAAATCAGATGCTTTAGTTTATGAGATTTATCCCAAAGATCAAGAACAATGGACTGCTTAAATCAAGCTCCAAACCGAACCGCAAATTGTTTTTTTATTCCAATTAAGGCCGAAAGGAGTGTAATTATCAAATAATTGTCATTATTTGGTCAAATATTTTATAATCCAGTATAATTGACAACAAATGCTAAACATTTTATAATCCAGTATAATTGGTAAGTATAATTGGTAACACATGCTGACATGTTTCCATGACATAAATAGAAATCATGGCCTCCAATAACGACCCAAATGTGAACTTTAATACAATAGTCGTATAAACAAATAATATAATAACATTTTAGACATATTTTGTATAGTTCCAACCAAATTTTTTATAGTTCGACCAGATAATGTCACAAGTCGTTTGAATTGCAATGTCAGGTAATTCAGAAAAAAAGTGATCATACCTTTTACAGCTGACGTACCCTTGTATGTTATGAACCACGAGGTCAGAAAGACTGAAAAATGCCCAAAAAAACGAAAAAAATATATATATTTGTTAGGTCGATACGATAGAGTAGTACAAGGCTGATGAAAAAATTAGACATTTTGATCCTATATACGTTTCTTAAATTGAAGTATGTCTCGTTCATGATGAATTACTTCACATTACTCTACTCGTTTAGCTCTAGATCACCTATCCATCGACATTATTGATGATATGAGATGGGGGCATTCATGTCTTTTGTTTGGTTGGGACAACAAATTGCCAGTTTTGTCCCATTGATTCCTTTCTAGAGACTCGATCTTGGCCATGTGGTTAAAGAACTATAATAGGTGTGTAACATTGTCATTATTAATGCAATAACAGTTCATTCATAGCAACTTAGCAAGTGTTGTTTTTCTTCCCCTGACATCAATCAGCATGTGTCAAAAATTGAGTCACATTAATCTGCTATCTGTTGCTACATAAACTTGTTGATCAACTGTATCCTTGTCTATGTTCCTTTCTTTGTTCATTCTCTTTAAAACCCATATAAATTATGTTAAGAGAAATGATGAAATGGAAGAAAAAAACATGAGGGCAAATAAAAATATGTAAAAGGAGGAGGGAAAGCCTAGTTTCAACACCCACATATATAGTTATAGTTATACTAGACTAGATTCATGAAAGTACAATGCTGAGTGATGTATGAAACTGTTATGACGATGCTGTACTGCAAGTTTAAAAGAATAATGGTAACTATTATTTAGCTATTTTCTGACCTCTAGCTTCAACTGTTTTATGGTAACAGCTGAGGAAATGGAATGAGAAATGATCATATACATTCTTTCATTGAAGCATCCGCCTATTTCTAAAAAATATAATCATCTGCAGAATCAGGAGAAATGATCCAACTGTCAAAGGAAGGGGTAGCTGTTTGACTTCGATTTTGACTTCGAGTGGAGAACAGAGGTGCGTCGGGTGTGGAGCGACGATGGACCGGCGGCGATTGTCCGGCGACGACGGGTCGGCGCGATGCTGTGAAACCGGAGATCGTTGGTGTATCGATTTTGGGCAAAAGAGACGGTGAAACGATTTAGGGCACAAGAGACGTGTGAGTCGATTTAGGGCATAGGAACTTTATCGGTAGTCAAACTTCTTTACAAAAAAAAGTATCTGTATAATTACTTTGGTCAAAATTAGTCAATTATAGTCAAAATTAGTCAAGCCTCCTTATTTATTCAAAATGTAAATACAACCAGGATTTTCTAATGTGTTTCTATTTTTATTTTTTCAACTTTTTCCAAATATTATTATAGTAAAAATGTTTGATAAGGACCGGTCAATAATGTAAGGAGTCTTTGCAAAATTATATATAAAAAAACAAAATTGTAGTTATTTTCAAAAATAAAAAAATATTAATTAAAAATATTTTAGTTTTTATTAATTGAAAATATTATTAGTTTTTATGGTCATTAATTGTTTTTTTTCTTGTAATTCATCAATGACCGCTATTGAGTGGTCACTAATTGTTTTTCTCCATTTAAAGAGTAGGCGTGTAATTTTAAATAAGAGTTGTCAGTGACCATTATTTTTGGTCACTAAACCTCCAATACAGTGACTACTTTTTTGTCACTAAACTTCTAACATATTGATGATTGTCCTTAGTCACTATATAGTTAACATAGTGACCATTATTTTTAGTCACTAAATAGTTGCTATCATATGAAACAAAAGTAGTTTAATTTTTTCACGTTTTAGTGACCGAGTTAGTGACCACCACATATAATTCGTCATTAAATTTGTAGGATTACCAAAATTCAGTGACCACTTAATTTCTAGTGACTAAAAGATGCTTTTAGTGACCAAATTTTAGGTCGTCACTAAAAATTAGTCACTAATAAGGACTTTTCTTGTAGTGGGGATAAACATGATGGTGAAGACCACTACTACTTAGTTAGTGGTGAGTTAAACTCTTGGCAGAGTTGAGGCATCTCGAATACTTGGATTTGAGTGGAAATGATTTTGGAGAAAGTCGGATCCCTAAGTTTATTGGTTCCTTGAAGCAACTGAGCTACCTCAATCTCTCTCGTGCTTATTTTCAAGGTAATATTCCTCATCACATTGGAAATCTTTCTAATTTAAAGGTTCTTGATCTCAGTTGGAACTTTGACATGATGGCAAACGATATGGCATGGACTTCTGGCCTTTCGTCACTCGAGTATCTCGACTTGAGTTTAGTAGATTTTGGTAACGCACAGAACAGAGACATGTTGCTTTGCATGATTCCCTCATTAAAAGAGTTAAGTTTGTATAGCTGTAATCTTGATCTTGGTCGAGTAAGATACATCCTAACATCAAACTCATTGATCTTGGCATAAATTCTTTCAAAGGTCCACTTAGCTTTTTACAAAGCATGACATCCCTTGCATTCCTGGATCTTAC